TTTCTGAATGGGCAGGATACACTTTTTTTGAATGGGTTTCTAATGGGTTCATGAATGCTCAAATTTTTTGCTGGGTACCGGCACTCGGTCGAACGGAACGTGCCCTTCGCCAAGCTCATCGACCACTACCTGGAGGCAGGGATCCTGGAGCCAGCAGCTTCTCCCTACAACGCCCCCGCGTTTCTGGTAGACAAGAAGTGCGACGACCCCACGGCACCCATCGAGAAACGTTTTCGCCTGGTGGAGAACTATAAGGAGCTAAACAAGCTAGTCCTCGACGACAACTATCCTATGCCTGTGGTGCAGGAGCTCATCGAGGCTCTTGGTCGTAAGAATCAGTATTTTTGCAGATTGGATCTACATGATGCCTACCATCATCTCCCGATCGCGCAAGAAGACCATCCCAAGACCGCCTTTATGACGCCCCAAGGACAAGTACAATACAAGGTTCTCCCCTTCGGCCTCAAGAACGGCCCAGCGATGTTCCAGCGTACGATGAACACGATCCTGCGACCTCATCTTTACAAGAAGTGCCTGGCCTACGTCGATGACGTGCTCGTCTTTGGAGAATCCTTTGAAATACTCTGTGCTAATTTAGACAATGTCCTCCAAACTTTACAGGACGCCGGCACCGCCATCGACCTCAAAAAATCCAACTTCCTCGCAAAGCAGACTCTCTTCTTGGGGCACATCATCGACCAGACCGGCAGCCGACCCGCGGAGCGAAACGTCGATGCGGTACGCGATTACCCGAAACCCGCCACCACGCGCCAGATGCAACGGTTCTTGGGGATGGCGACCTATCTCAGGGCCCATCTCCCCACGAACTTCACGGATTCGGAGAAAGCTCTGAGGTCAACGATCCCACGGAAACCCGACACGCGCCTGAAGTGGTCCGACGCGGCGGAGCAGGCGTTCGAAAAGCTCAAACTCTGCCTCGCCAACGCCTCCAAGCTGGAGCGCATTGACCCACACCTGCCGCTGTCTGTCCATTGTGACGCCTCAGCAATCAGCCTGGGGGCTGTACTCGTTCAAACGGACGCAGACGGGAAGGATCGCATTATCGAGTATGCTAGCAGAGTACTCAGCGACACGGAGACGCGCTATACAAATACGGAACGCGAGCTCCTGGCAGTGGTATGGAGCGTTACAAAGAAGTTTAAACATCATCTTCTCCACAGGCAGTTCTCAGTGAATACCGACCACAAGGCACTCCTGGGCGACCTACAAACGGAACGGGCCGTTAGCCTATATACGAAACTAGCAGGTTTTAAATTCGAGCTGCTGTATCGACTCTTCCAACTGCACCTGAAGGTTTTAAGTAAGCAATAATCGCCCTTGATCATTTCAGCAAGTTCATGATTGCTAAACCGATTCCCGCCGCAAATACAGAGACTGTCGTCCCCTTCCTTGCGGAAATTTGCAGGGACCTCGGGGAGTTCGAGATCATACACACCGACGCTGACTCCGTTTTCCGTAGCAAAGCTTTTTGGCATTTCTTGAAGGGTGCTCACATCAAGCAGCACGTCGCGCAGGCATCGCATCCAGAGGGCAACGGCTGTTGCGAAAGGGCAATCAAGACCCTCGGGCAAATCCAGGCCAAAGCAGTCCTCGGCAATGAAATGGCATGGGTCACACACCTCGCAGCTTCTGTCGCCGCTTACAACTCGACGCCCCACTCCATCACTGGGGTCACGCCGGCGGAAGCCATGTTTGGGACGCCAACAACACTCGCAGCCGATCGCAAGTTTAATGTCCAGCGAAAAAATCTGGAACTCCGATTACACCAGATGACACAGCACGTCATCGACCAACGAGAAAAGTTCATCGCGCAGGCCAACAAGCGAAAATTGCCATCCTTTCTACCAGGTGACTTAATAGCGATTTTCCCTCGACTCCCAACCATAGACCGTCACGCAGCGAATCGACGCTTCAGGACTCAGAAACTTGGACCTTTTATGGTGATCTCCAACCAAGGAAACGGCGAATACTGGGTGGGGGCCGGCCCGCACGTACGCAGGGTCAACGCCTGGGAGATGGTCCCGTTCCGAGGATTACCCCAGGCTCCAATACCAGGATTCGACAAACAACTGGGCCTTATCAGCCCCAGCAGTGGTGTTTGTACGATCGTTAATCATGTTATTGACCATTCTTATGCGCGCCCAAATGTTGTTGTTCGCCCATAGTGTTGTTGAACCTTCGGTCAGTGAACCTATGTTATCCGTCGATTACGCGCAGAGTTCTTTGTCCGGTCATCAACCTTTGTTGCCAACTCCGCGCGAGTTTTCTTTCTCGGGTTTCGGCAATCAGCGCAACTCGGAGACGAGCTCTTTTTCCCCGGGGGGGGGAGAGTAAGGGTTCCCCTTTACGTAAGAAGGCGACATCTAGGAGGCAGTACTGGAGGAGACCCAGACGTTCAATGTCCCAACCCAGAAACCTCTTATCTCTGACCCCATCTGGAGAACCACTGGAGAAGTCCACAGCGGAGGAGAAACATCCTCACTTCGACTCGAGCCTTTGAGGAATCAACTCCTCTTAACTCTGACCTCTGTTACTGTTGTTAGTGTGTGACTGTGAAATAATAAGTCCAGTGTTCGTGAAGAAAGGTCTGATTCTCTTCATCACCTTATTGTTGGGGCGTCATTCCGTTCTTGACTTTTGATGAAGGAGGTTGTGTTAACCTCGAGAGCCTGTCCTGGTGATCTGTGATATGTTTTGCGACGAGTGTTCACGAACTGGAGTCTGGACTGTTATTGAGTACTCCTTATTGTTAAAGCAGTCGTCCATGCAGCAGGGACCCAAAGGTATATATTATTTAAAAAATCATTCCATTGCATGAAAGTTTAAAAAAAAGTTACACTTTGTTCTCGCTGGTTTTATATCATTCGACGCCATCAGCATGGAGTTCACGGATGCACAAATACTGTAGTTGGAAGTTGGAACAATAACCCATTTGTGTGTACCAACCAGCACACAATAAATGGGTCGACATATTCAGAGCTTATTTATGCACTGCTGCGCTTCTGATCTGTGCAAAGCGAGCGAATAATAAATTGAATTATACGGCTACACAGCAGTCAACATTGAATGCACATGTTTTCACTCATCCCTGGCCACAATGATTGGCGGGATTGCGGGAAAACAAACGAAAGAAATAACTCAGTGCTATAATCGTTTGTCGCCGTGGTATTTTACAAAAACCGGCGGTCAGGTGAGCAACTGCTACGTGCCCCATCAAAGTCCAAGGGTACCACCTCATCGCTACTGTAAATGTAGTACAGTATTGCAGTTTATTTCACTTCATACTTCGTGAATTGTAAGATCATAAAGAAATTTTAACCAGCGTCCATGCAGACGGGACGCGGGAATGTTTTCACCACTGCTTCTCTTTTATTCGACAAGCTCTCTACTTTCGGCGATGGTGACATCTATGAATGTAGCAAACAAACAAACAATTATAGTACAGTACAGTACTTTCCAATATTTTTCGTTTCTCCGAGGAAGAAATTTAGGTGATGAACTCATCGCTTGTAAGTCTTTGAAATGTGAAAAGAAAGTGTCCCCTTTTGATCACGGATTTGGGCAGGGTTTTATCGTGTCTAACAAAGCAGGTGACTGAAATTTTGACATTTTTTTCAGCACATTGTGCGTAGTTTCGTGCAGTATTGCCTTTTTAATCCTATGATTCCAATCCAATGATTATGCTGCTCTCGATGCCGCATTCAACTGGATTTGTGCCTTCCCAAAAACATAGGTTTTTATCTTTACTTATACCCTTTAGATTTCTTGCTCTAGTCTGGCTCATTTAGTATTGGGTCAATATCTCTAGGTGCATCGTTTTCAAGTGCGCCCTACTGCAGCTCTTCACGTAAGTTTCATTAATTCTCATACTGTACTTTTTTCCACATTAGAGATTTTATTTTGTGGCCCATGAGATATGGCGTGATGAACGTGCTGTTCTTGCGAAGTCGCGCTACTTTGCGGCGCGACGTGGTGAAGAATGCCACAAGATGTTGTTCATCTCTTCCGAGGAGTCCGTTGATGCTCTACAAGCGCAAAGTATCTTCCGGTGTTTTAAAAGAAGACCAGTACCAGCTGAAGATCGCGAGGATGTTGGACGAGTTGCTGCAGCGAGTTGAACGCTACACTCCGTCCGCAGTGCAGCCACCAGAAAAGAGTTTCGAGTAAATTGGTGCATACTTGCCATCATTCGACTCGTTTTGCTTAATTTGTGAGTTCTCAATTTCACGCAGTGGCTGGAACGTGATGAATCTGTTTGGTCGACGGGATCCAAAGAAACAGTCATCGAAGACTGTGAAAGTGCCTAAAAAGTATCCGAAAGGAATTTACATTTACGGATCCGTGGGTGTTGGGAAAAGCATGCTGATGGATATGTTTCACGACTGTGTTTCAACGCCGCACAAGAGTAGGATTCACTTCCACGAATTCATGGTGAGTAAACGGTTTCTCCTACGAAGGATGCACCTTGAATAACTTCGTCGAACCTAGTTAAAAGCTGTGTTTAATTTTCAAGGAAGTAATGTATCCTCCTTTGGGAACAGCACATGTCTGTTCACGAAATAAAAACTACTGTACATATGACTCATTTTCATTAGGTGGACGTGCATAGCCGCATCCACAGGTGGAAGATGTCGCAGAAAGAAGGTTTTCGTGGAACGTCTTATGACCCGATACCGCCAATTGCAGACCAGCTAGCTTCAGAAGCCTGGCTTCTTTGTTTTGATGAGTTTCAGGTTTGTAAATTTCGTTACGAAGATAAATCTAGCGCATTTCAAAACCTGTGATTCTTCTTCGTATTGTAAACTCAAACCGAAGTGTGAAAGCTGACATTGCCGAAATTCGTACAAACTTCTGAGAAACCTGAAACGGAGCACATTCAAGAGAACCTGTGTCAAGAAAAGCAAGCAAAAGCTCGACAGGCCGAGTCCACGAGGTTCAAATTAATTCATTAAAGAACGACATGCTCTTGAAATTTTCGGTCATACCTGCTCTTGTTCTTTTGATTGTTTCTCTTCGTGTTCGAATTACTGTTCCTGTTTTGCCAGAGAATAATTTGAAGGGGTTTGAGTCCGTCACTTTTTTGGTGATGCAAGTTTGACGCTTATTTGTTGACGACTTATTTTAGGATTATTTAATGTCGTTGTAGTTTTGTTTCGTCCGTTTCTGTTTTGAAAAATCGTGTCACGCTGTCTCACGAAGACAAATTGCAAAAATGTGAAATATTGTTTTTCGACGAGATTCAACAGCACTTGGTTCATCGTAGGTGACAGATATTGGCGATGCGATGATCTTGAAACGTCTCTTCACGGAGTTATTTGCACGCGGGTCTGTTGTAGTCGCTACTTCGAACCGTCCCCCGGACGATTTGTATCTCCATGGCCTGCAAAGAGGGAATTTTCTTCCCTTTATTGACATCTTGAAGCGATTCTGCGATGTAGCTTGCCTGGACTCGGACATTGATTACCGATTGATCGGTAAAGGGGCTTCACAAAAAACATTTTTCGTGTGAGTACTGGATTCGTTGACATCGCCGAAATTTGCAGCTGGGGAGTCTTCGCTATGATTGCAGGAAATCTCGAGACATAGACACCACCAAGGAATTGGAAATAATTTTCAAAATTCTCATCTCGAAAGAAAACGATGTTCCGCGGGCGAGGACATTTTCGATCAAGGGACACAACGTGGAGTTATCCAAGACTTGCGGAGGAGTTGCCTTTGTGAGCTTCGATGAGCTCTGTGATCGGGTCCGTTTTATGGCTTGCGTGAAAATTCTGTGACAAATTCGGTGACAGTTTCTCGGCTTGCAGCCTCTCGGTGCCGTGGATTACCTGCATTTGAGCCAAATATTCCACACGGTTATATTGAAGGACGTTCCGGAGTTGAATATGCGGAAGAAGAGTCAGGCGAGACGGTTCATTACGCTGATCGATAGCCTTTATGACCACAGGGTGAGAAGAGATATGCCTTCTTCTTAGATTCTGCTTCGAGTAAATCATGTGTGATTTTGAAAAAAGTCAAGTGAAAAAAAAATTCGGGACGTGAACCGGGTAAATGACAGGATAATCTTCCCTAAAATATGATTGTAAGCATCATAAACTCACAGTCAACCCTTGATTTAGTGCCAACAAATTCTCTTGGTGGTTCAAAAATTGCCTTGCGCTGGATGAAAAATGGGCCAAAACCAAAGAAGTGACGGCATATTTGGATACTCCTTTTTTGAATTTACGCTATTGAGAAATTTTTTCGTTGCATGACATTTTCTTTTTTTAACAATTATATAAATGAAGTGGGAGTTTTCCTGAAACCAATGGCGATCCATAAATGATGGAAACTTGTATGAAAATCAAAGGAACGTTTAAGAAACAACTAAGCTCTTTTATTAAACAAAATACCTGTAAATATATCCTAATCTATTGTCATTTAAATGCAGTATAAAGTGTCATGTAAACTTGAAGTTTAATAAGTAATGCGACAGAGGGAATATTTTGTCTGGGACACCGGCTTGTTAAAACCTTGGTTCGAATAAAACGAATGTCATTGGGAACTGGAAGGAGAGTACGTTTTACCCTTGATTCAATGACGCAAAATGTGCCAGGACGAATGATGAGCGACTAAATCATGGTTTGACTGTAATTTAATCAACTCAGATTCTTGAATTAACGTGTTCAGATAGTTGGTCGAATGATTTACTCGTACGAGCATGTTTTTAGATTAGGTATACATATAACCGACCCTTTTTTCAGGTGAGAGTCATTTGCTCCTGTGATGTTCCAATTGACGCCTTGTTTAACGAGGAGCAGAGTGAGGATATATCTGACGAGCACAGAATGCTTTTAGACGATCTGGGGTTAAAAGTGGTGAGCTTACTTCGGCAATTCTAAGCATCCCGTCTTGTTTCTTTCGGTTGTATCCTTTTTTTCCCCCTAAAAAAAGTGACTAACTTTTTCGTGAAGGAAGAGGCGAACGCGCATGAATCAACAAATGAAGAAGTGTTTGCGTTCAAGCGAACGCGGTCGCGATTACACCACATGCAAACGCAGACGTATGCGGAGGAATGTTTGCGGAATCATCATTAACTCGCGGTGCAGGTTATATACAGTATTTCGAACGAAAAAAAAACTGTTCTCTTGCTTTGCATAAGTGCAATTGGGTTAGAAATATTTTTTTACGCGCCTTCGCTGTGAGATGGAGGGTCCTCCGTTGAAGTTGCCTTGCTGAAGCGGAGCAAAGAACGCAGGAAGCTTCGAATCGTATTAATCTCATGGCAAAAAGAAAAAACCATTACGACACATTGTTCAGTACAACAAACTTTTTCTTAGTTTCTGGCAGAAAGCCCATACAATAAATTTTAAAACTGGTCATAATAAACTTCCCTGTTCTAGTGTAATGAAAAATGTTTGAGGAATGCTCAATAGATTCTCCAGGTAGAAATTTCTGGACTATAGCATGCACAGTTCGAAATTTCTGATCCCAAATGTGACTGACTGGTTCTTGTACCATAGATAAAAACTGTGATCAATTACAAAGATGCATTCGAAGGGTCCCACACCATCCTCCCCGAATGAAGAGATTGGTGCAAATGATAGAATGCGTGCTTGAAGCCGTCTTTTTTTTCACAAGATCATTCAGTTTTTCAAACGAATAAGAAAAATCTGAGAATGCCAGAAAAGCAAGATCTGATTTATTACATGCAAGACGGATGTGAAAATGCTTTCCAGCAGGCATTAATTTTTAAAATCTTTTTATAACAAGTTATTCAGTACATCCAAATTTTGCATGAGATCACAACCGTATTGTTGCTCAATCGCATTGTTTTTACGGAGGATATATTGTGTACCGCGGAGCTGAGAGCCTCTGGACGAATATTCCAAGCTTCGCAAAATTGGGTCTGGCTGTGCTTGTACGTCGTTGCCTGCTTTGTAGTGTCCTGAACGCTTTTCAGTTGGATTTCTTCTGCATTTTCTGAATAATATTTCCTCGTGGATTCCCTACCAACAGGGCTCAAAATTGGTGTCTTCCGAGGGCGAAGCAACGCGGAAATCGCTTTCCGGTGCCGAAGAAGTGTTTGCATTCAAACGCACGATGTCTCGCTTGAAGGAAATGGGATCTGAAACGTATTGGGACCAAAGTGACTTGAGACTCCGTCGAATTTCTTGACGCTTGGGATTCTTCTTTCTTCTCTAGTTTTGGGGTTTTTAGGGATTATGGAAGATTGTTCCGGTGCATCGCAATTTGCAGTTACCAAGATTTTCGAGCAGTAAACTTGTTGTAAATGTGTTGGGAGTTGCGGTTGAACGTCGGGTTTCGAAAATGAGCGGTTTTTCACGTTGGAACTGTACTCTTTACGTTTTTCGGGTTGATATTTTGTATTTGCAGTACAGTATTAGCAAAAACAGAACGAATTCGTGAGAGCCTTCGTTAAAAACCGCTCGTTTTTTGCGGAAATATATCCGCGTTGCCGAACAGTTGACCAGTTTCAGTTAAGATTTCTCCTTCAAAAGAAAGCTTTGTCCCTCTTTTTTTGTTGTTGAAAATTTTCGAACTTTCATCTGTGATAACAAATGACAAATCGATGTTAGTCTTGAATTCTTGATAGAGTAACCGAGTCTGGCTGGGCTAACATTGAAGCGACATCTATCTGTGCAGAATCATGAACACTCGGTGGACGTAATACACGTGGGCTCTCTCTACAATGATATTCTCTGTATACAGTAATGTTTTTTTTTTGTGCCGTAGGGTTTCTACAATGAAATTCTCTCTTCGAGGAATATTTTTTAGAAATGAATTAATTTTCAAATGTTCAGAATTTTTTGTAGAGAGTCCACTTGTTATAAAATGTATTTCCGGAGACTAGACGGATTTCTGAATTCGCTGCAGTTGACTCAAACCAGTTCCAGAAGATATTCATCTCACGAGTCCAAGCGAAACGCTTCAAAGGTTCAGGAAAGATTCAGTCTTGAAGTTGCTTCATGAAACTGCTCAACCGTCCGCAAAGTTGATATGGTGTGTTCTTATTTAATTAATTTTTAAACTTCTTTTCACCATCGTCGATTCAGAAAGAAAAATGAATGAGGAGCGCGCGAGTGAAATTATGAATGAAGGGTCGTGGAAGGTTGTGGCGTTGATTGTGCCGCTGACGTTGTGTTTTTTGCTGAGTCTCGGGCTGGTGGAGCTTGATTATGCCGTGGCTCGGATGAGGAATGTTACGGCAATCATTGCCCAAGTTGACTCCAATAACGCCTCGATGGTTCGCGAACTAGCCAATGCCCTGGGCATGTCAAGTCTTACGGAACTGCAGGCTGCCCTCATCATCGGACTGATGATGTTGGTGATGGTCGCGATCGTGACGACGGTCGTCGTGATCCTGTACAGGTTTGCACCGCTGTTCCCTGAAAAAAAAAAATTATCTGCGAAATTACGAGGGCTAATGGAACTAGTGAGGATTAACTTTGATTTTCATCCATATTTCTCTGAAAAATTCATTTTTTTTAGTGCGCATGTTTTTTTTTTCTGTCAGATGCACGAAATGCGACTAACAAAAGTTGAAAAACCTTTCGTTGAGAATTCATACGATGAATGTAAATTTACTTTTAAGAATCTTATGTATTCCCGGATAGAACTCACCGTGTTGAACGGTTTTATGCTTATTCTACGCGATGTTTTAATGTTTCTCAGATATCTGCATTGCTTGTGGTGTCTGACTGGGTACGCATTTTGCGCCATCACGGTGCTGCTTGGGTTCCTCGGCACTCGGAACCTGGCGAAGATCTGCTCTCTTTTAAAAATCTATGTCGACTACGTATCGTTCTTCTTCGTGGTCTGGAACGTAACCCTAACAGGTTCCGTCGTGTTGTTCATGGATGGACCGACCCTGGCGCATCAGGGCTACTGTGTGTTCTACGCATCCATGTTTGTCAATTACCTTCTCGGGATCATGCGACCGACGTTGATTCTTTGGGTTGCTGTGGTGTTGCTTGGGTTCTGGGACCTGTTTGCTGTGTTGTGTCCTTGTGGTCCGTTGCGGATGTTGGTGAACACGGCGCAGACTCGCGGTGACATGGATAGCAAGTTCCTTCGCGCGTTGGTGTATTCCGCGGCGGTTCTTCTCGCGACAGAATCGGTAAAAGGAAAACTGTGTTTAGGATGTGTCGAAATTTTGGCCGAAGTGATCACGGGACAAATCCCGTTGTATTGTTCGGTGCTTTCTGTGTAACCGACTTCGAGAAATACGAAGTTGGTGGAAAAGAAAGCCGAAGGATTCTAGTGTGGGTTTGAGACTCGTCAACCACTTTCCGTGTCTGTAAATCAAATAATATTCTACACAGTTTTGATGGACTTTCTCGTCCCGTATATCTTGAAAATATGAAATTTCTGTTGAATTAATTGAAGGAGCCGGCGATTCTTTTGAACCAACCCTCTTATGTTCAAGTGTTCTTTGGATAATGTTCTGTGATCGGGAGAAACTCAGAGTGACATTAAATTTGCTTCAGGGTACCATGGAGACCGAGAAAGAGGAAGAAGAAGAAGAGCGCGGACCGAAGCTGGGATTGGGTGATTTCATATTCTACAGTGTGGTGATTTGTCTGAGTAGGGTTGACAGTGGCTACTACAGTGTTCTTCTGTCGTACATTGTGATCTTGTTTGGGTTGATGTGCACCTTGGTGATCCTGGTGTTACTTGCGAAACCGCTTCCCGCGTTGCCAATACCCATCTTCTTATCGGTGACAGTGTTCTTCATCTATCGGTACATGGTTGCCGAGTTCCATGACAAAGTGAACGCGGTTCAAGTGTTCCTGTGATTCTGGAATAGCTGTGATTTTCGTGTCAGATGTGTCCGAATTTTAAAAGATCGTGTCCTTTTGTGTGTTCCCTGGAGTTACATTCGGTGAACGCATGATTGTTTTTTCTGTGTACAGTTAAACATGCTCCTTTAGCATGCGTCGTTAAATAAAAGAGAATGCGGTGACAGGCTAAAAAGTTGAAGAATTCATTCCTGCTCATCTCTCGTCATGGAGGCTGAGATTGAAGACAGCATTCGGAAAAACATTCCGTGGCCGAAGCTTTCAAACAACATCCGAGACGTGAGTTGATCATTTCCCAGTTCGTGGATTTTATTCAAATCATTTTGAAATATATTTCGTCCGATGTAGTATTGAGTGTGGAATTTAAGTTGCTGGACGCTGAAAAATTCTTGTTGAAAAGTCCCTGATATGCTGTGCCATTAAAATTTTTCTCTGTCATGTCAGTTGGTGATTTTTCCTTAAATTTATTCTTGATTTTCTACATCGATATTGGAAATGTTTCAACATCGCTAACGTTTTATCCAAGAATTTGAACGCAGTTATGTTGATTTACTCAATATGAATAACTTCTGAAACACAGAGATTTGTGTTCAATGATTTCTCGTAATGTAGAAATTTTTTTTAATTTTCTTCGTCGACTTCATGGGTTTTTTTTTCGCGAATCATTGATTTTCGTTTCAGTTCTTCGGGAACAATCCTCGCGCTTACGACAAATCGATCTACGATTTCAGCATCAAGAACCAGATACGATTCCAGAGGAATCTCGGTGAGAACAAAATTTGCACTTCTTTTTGTTGTTGTTGTGAAATTCGATTACTGCACTGTATTTGCCGTTTTCAGAATGGCCCGTGAATTTATCATCTGTCATTCGGGACAGAATAAACGTTATTTAGGTGTCATTGATTGAAACCAGTTATTTTTTCGTCGATTTTGTTGCTGTATTGAATATGCGTGTAACTAATGTGGCTCTTATTTTATTTATATCTTATTATATTTCTCTTTCACAGTGAGTCGAGTGCGTAAAGATGCGGAGCGATACTACGTCAAACTCCTTTCTCACAGCAGAGAAAATCTTATGCTGTATCCCTATCACCTGCAAGACATGACAGTCCGTGGTCTGCGTGTGACGCCCTTTCAATATTACATCGAGATGATCGTGTACATCATGGAGCAGGAGAAAAGCTACGATTCACTGCCTAACTTTACGGCTGCTGATGGTAGGAGTTTGAACATTCCCGTGGATTTATTGTTGGCTTTATGCTGGAATTTCTTTTATTTTTTTAGCGTTACGCATCCTTGGTATTGGGCGAAATGAGTACATTGACTTGATGAACGAGTGCAGAACTGGCACCTTCATAAAAACCTTGGCCTACTTTTGCAGCCAAGCACCCGTGAACGGCTCATTTGGCCACCTACACGGCTAGCTTGGGACCACCGTAGGCGTTTAGCCAACGTAGTGGCTACTGCTGTACTTCCATGGAGAAGATCCGCTCAATAATGACGTACTATCGTGTCACATTGAGATGAAAGCTCCCGATTTTTATTTAATTTTGAAAAAGCATTTGCGTAAAATTGCAGTCAAACCCCGTTGATATAATTGGGTGAAATCTGAAGATCGCTGCTTTTTATAATTTTGGTCTTTTGACGAAGCGTGTTTACTGTTGAACCACTTTTCATGAAACGGATCATTTATGAACTTCATTTTCGGATTGAAGATCTGTGGTGTTTTGTTTGATTTTTAGTCTGTGACGACTGCTGAGCGGGATCTTATTGATAAGCTGATCGATTCAAGCGGGGCTGACAGTGCCGGTGCATTCGACTATCACTGCATACATTCCTTGTATCGGTAAGTATTTTATTTTCTATTTGGAAACTTTGCTTTACAAGGTGTTCGTGTCACTTGATGACACAACGTCCGTCCAAGAGGTACTTGACTCAGTGTCAGGATGCAGATTTAACTGAGTTTTCCATTTAATTTCAAAAATACGTTTTTTAGGGTATGACATTTGTATTTTCACTTGTCGAGGACGATGCAAATCGCTTTGCAAAAGATCCGTTCAAAAAAATTTTGAGTTTCCGAATTTTTCAAGAATATCTTCAAAAAAATCCTTTCTTTTAATTTTGAATTACGAATTTTTTTGTGGGATTTAAACTAAAGGGACTCACGCAACAAAATCAATTCATAGGATGCATTTCCTGGCCAAAAATTCTTCAAATTTCAGAAAGTTTTTGTCCAAGACCATTTTTTTTTCAATCGAGAAGAGTATAGTTTTGCCCATTCCTTTTCTTTGAAATTTGTTGAAATTAAAATTAAGGAGAAAAGCTTGTCAGGGTTACTTATAAACCCAATTCCAATAAATTTTAAATGCAGAATTCCGTGCGGAAGTCTAGGTATATTGAAGAGGTTTTATTGCCTATGATTGTATTGAATTTAATCTGGAACAAATTAAATAATTTATTATGTATTTGTAAGGGAAATTGCGATTTTCATTACAATGAATTCCACATAACCGTCCCACTTTGATTATGTGGTACTGATGATGTCCTTGTCGACAGTTGGCAACTTTGTTGCAAATTGATATTGAAATGGCACAACGTGCGGTTTCCATGTTCTGCCGACTTGGATTCGCACATCGGAAAGCATTGGATTATGACAAACTTCTGCAACATCCATCATGGCGGGAGTTTTACCAGGTTCCAATGAAAAGGTGCTGAAAATTTTGCAGTTGACTGCATCTAAAAAACGAATCTTTTCCGTGGAAAACGTAAACCATGCAAAACTCAAAACAACATTGAAAGTTATCGAATATAAGTTTGTTTTTTTTTCAAGTGGTTGAATTGAAATTACTCGTATTTAACCGTTTTCTACGCAAGAATACCTTATCAGAGAAGATTTTGGGGGAGACTACCTTATAATTCTTACACTGCTGAGAAATTGCTTTGTTTTTGTTTTTTTGCCTGTTATTTCCAAATAATATTTTCTCCAGGTTCTGTTTTGTGTTGCAACTGTAATCAGCTGTCCTTCATGGAAATCAACCTAGGTGAACAGATTCTTGATTCGATGTCAATTATTGAAAAAGGCCTGGGAGAAGAAGTCTATGCCCAGCGGAAGAAGGGAGGATTGTTTAGTATGTGTGCAGTTTTATAAGGACCCAGGCCTTGAAATTTTATTTCATTTTCACAAGTATTTAATCGCTTGAACTATTGGCATAGAAAATAAAAGCAAAAATCAATGTGCTAAAAATCCTCTTCCGCCTCCTCATGTTTACTTCTTTCATGGTTTCCTTATTGGGAACTTCTTCCTCCCACAAAAACGCAAAGCCTCTCCACTGTATCCCAAGCCACCCGTCCATTTCACCCACCATAACGAAGCTCTATTCCCGTAGCAGTCCGTTGAGTCGATCAGTTGCGGCAAACTCGAGCGCGGCGCGAGAAGCGCGATCGTCCTGTTCTCCTAGTCCGTCTTCCGATGACGATTCTTTGATTCGTGAGATCCGTGCAACTCTGTCGTCTGAAGACAAGGAAGATGATCGAGTTGATGCCGGTTACCTTCAGCGGCAAGCTTCGGAGACTTCGAGTTGTAATTCAGTGCCGGCGCCGTTCTTGTCTACGGGAGCGACGAAGCGCATTGCGTTGCTCTTCGACTCGACTCTTACAGCATATCTCATGATGGGGAACTTGTCGCCGGTGAGTAGCGGACATTTTGAAATGTTTCGAATGGTTTTATTGGATTGACTGATCATTTTCGTGTGTTGACCGGAGCGTTTATCAAGAGTGACAGTCATCAAGTCACAGTTGTTTAGAATTTGCATCTAGTCATGGGTTCTGCGGTTTTTTGCGAGTAATTTTTGAGTTGGTGAGGCTTATTCATCCGAGTTACTGTTGGGTTAGTGAAGTTGATAATGCATTAGTCATATTTATGCTTCTTAGGGGCCTTTTTACAAATCACCGTCCATTTTTTATGATTCCCGTGTCAACTGACCGAGTACTGAACTTCATGGAAAACCAATATTGAGTAAACGTGAAAGAATTCTTTTTGTAGAAGTGGTTTTATGTGCAGTCGACCCTCTTCAAGGGACCAGCAAAAAAGTCCGAGTTTAAGAAACGAGCATTCTTGTTGGGGGAAAGAAGAAAAATTATTTTAAATTGGAATTAATGATATTCTGGGTCTTAGAAAGCAGATGTGTCGATTGGATGCTGAACTTGGAGGCAAGGGATCATATGCCCGATTAGTCTTTCGCTTCTTTTCAAAATACATCGAGTTACATTTTTTCTATAGCCAATAGACCTCCAAAAATTTGAATCAAGTAGATTTGAAAGAAAAATCCTTCGAGTTAGGGAGGATCTTGATGTATTTTTTCCGGGGGAATTCAGTCAAGGGCTTGAAAAACGAAATCGACTAAGGAAGGTTCGAGTTATCGAGGTTCAACTGTTCAGTATTGAGTTATCGTGTTTTTTCACATCAGGGTTTGAAAAGCCACGCCGTGACGATGTTCGAAGTTGGAAAATTGTCTGAAGAATCGGTGGAGAGTTTGCTGAAGGAGTTGGACACGATCAGCGAAGCGGACATTGAAGGCGACGCCCAGCGATACCTGGAGCACGCCATCAACTTGAAGGCCACGCTCAAGTTTTTGCGACACAATCCGAATTTCTGCGCGACGGAAGCGAGTCCCGGTGGCTTGGGTGTTGATTTGCTCCGGTGCGAATCCCTGCAGAACCTGGACCCCGGAACTTACGCTCGGCTGCTTAATCGTAATTACGAGTGAGTCGTGTTCGGTTGGTAACTTTTCGTGATTGGAATTCTTGAATCTAGGGTTTTCACTCCTTTGTGGTGTCCTTCTAAGTAAGGCTTTCAAAGTGTAGATGTAATTTTTTTTCAATTGCTTGGTACTGTTGTATTGTATTGTACGAATGGATAACCTGGATACCGCTGTACTTCACTGCACTATTAATGGTCCGTCATTTTCAAGAGAATAAATGTACAGTACGATTTACATTGTGAAATGAAACTTAGCTTTATGTTCTGCATTACAGGGGAATTTTGATCAAAGATAATTACAGTATTATCTAGAAAAAGAAATCTGTCCCGTGCACAATTCTTAAGAACCAACATGAAGTTGCTGTATATATTTTAGTCTAATTTTTGGAAAAATGTATTGTGCAGTTTTTTCTTCCTTGTGGAACGAATTTTGGCTTGTTTTTCTGTATTTCAGGGGAATTTTGATTGAATAAAATTGATATCTGAAGGAAGAAAAAATGTGTCCCGTAGAAAATATTGAAGAAATGCCGTGGATTATATATTTTAGTCTCTTATTTTCTAGGAGAAATATCAGCCATGTTGTTTTGACAGTAAGAGCTGCAGTATTTGACTCACCTGCCAAAACGTCTCCCGTTTCTTTTGCATAAGTTGTGACTCCCCAAATGTATTCATTCATTGATGAATTTTGCCTTGAGAAAATATTGCTGTATTTTTCTCAAGTGAAAGAATTAAAGCAAGTACAGTACTTCAGTATCATTCTTACGCGCAACACATTTGACTTCTCTTGAATTTTATCTGTTCGGCGAAATGGAGAATCATTGAATTATTGAAAGAGTGATTATTGTGAATGAAAAATCAACTCATTCCTGTACTGAGAATGTAACTACGAAAGATGTTCTTTCGGATATATTACCACTTCTCTTATTATCAATATTTTTTTCAGTTTAAAGAGGATTGTGCTGAAATTTGAAAAGAACTTCGCCTTGCAACTAAGTAGACTCTAGTTACATCGAACCGCTTGGGACCTTAAAATTACTTCGTTATCAGCGATATTTTTTTTTAACGAAATTAAATAACATTTTCGCTATTCGACAGTGACCCAAAAGCAAATTCGTCGTAAGCGGTAATTCGTTATTTCGAGATTCTATTGTAATAACACATTTACAAGTAATGTTCTGTGAATGAAGGAAGCAAGTACAGGTGGATTCTCTCCACAACGAAATTCTGGGGACCAGAAAAACATTTGCTGTAGAGAACCCTAATTTCCTGGGTAGAGAATCTCCATGAACTACGTGGCCGAAGAAATTCGTGATACAGAGAAATTAGTTGTAGAGAGAGAGCGTCGACCTGTATTACAGTATAAATTTTGAATTGATGTTCTTTTCTGTCTTTCTCCTTATCCATTATTTGGGGACTAGGCTCATCGTTTCCATGGCTCCGTTGTGCAATGAAGTCAGACTGTTGGAAAGTTGTCATCCGCCGCATTTGGGTCCAGTGATTCCTGAAATAAATTCCGTGTGGTTCAAACTCTTCCTGTACTACTACACCGGCCATGGGCCTACTTCTTTATTTCTTACTCAAGGTTTGTGTCGAAGCCTCTTCTATCTTTCCCATTTGCGCAATGTTTTGATCAAATAATGAATCTCTTTTGGGGGAAAAAATAGGCACAAAGTTGCGTCGAATACCGGATTGTTTTGCGTGTGAAGCGAAAACGTCGAGGTCTCGACACGTTCTAGTCACTCCTTGGACCGGTTCACAAAGCTCCGAGATGTCGTTGTCGAATTCTCTGGGTCTTTTCAATGACGTTTTAAAAGACACGTCGTTGTTGTTGCAGGTATTGATCCGTTTTTTGTTTCTTGTAATTTTTTCACGTCAGATTTTATTTTTTCTGAGTAACGTCGATAATCGTCGTGTGAATCGTTGAAATTATTGCGAATAGCGTCGGAAGAACTGAAACAAATTTTAATTAACTTGGCTTTATCAGAACTAGTCCCATTAACCTTATCGTAGGTCGCATTGATTTCAGCTAGGACCAGGCGACATCTGTGTGACCTTTGATGAACTTATTTTTCCATTTTCGGAACTGAATGTGATAAGCCTAATTCGAACTGACCTCAAATGGAGCTTGGGTCTTGTTCCTACGTAGGAATTTCCGCATGTCGGATCACATTTTTCGTTATGCTTCAATTGAAACTACAATATTATCTACTATACTATCTACTTAATTGATTTCCTTGTTTATGAAAAACTTAGGAAAAAAGACCCATAAAAAAGCGATAAAAAATTTTCAAGTCACAGTACATAAAACGAGTGTGCTGAAGAAAACCATGAAGAATCTAATCTTTTGACTTGAAAAAGGGCCTAAGAAGCAAAAGAACAAGTGTAATTCTTGCTAGAAGTCGCACAGATCATGGAAAAAAATAAAATAGATGCACAAAATCAGCCCGATTTGGATTATGATTCAGAGTGATTTATAATAAAGTTTATCTCTAATTCTTGTGCAGAGGAATAGTTTACAGAGATATCGAAATTTGGAAAAATTAAATTTTTTTATTCTCTAGAAATGTTGACGAAGTGTCCGTATCTGGAGTCCAATGTCCAGTTTTAGAGGCATAGGTTTTTGATTTTCAACTGTCCCCAAGTCGAATTATCCGTATGTGTATATAGATTTCAATGACCCTTATGTAGCATTCAAGACATTTGTTGATTAACTTCTGATTTTCGAGTGAAAAAAGATTTTATTATCTTCGTAAATACTGTATTTAATTGTTCAACTTCTTTTGGTTGTGTTGCAGTTCCCGGGAGCAGCAGGAACCAGCGAGCGATTGAAAATCATCCCTTTTCCACTCGATCATTCTAGTTCTCGACATAATCAAGGTGATTATAATGGGAACTTTGATACTCGAACCTCCCTAAGTCGAATTTTGTTGTTGTTTTTCATTGGAAACAATACATTAAAATCCTTTTTAATTGGAAGGCTTTCCCTTTCGAACCTGTGACAGTAAAATTTTGTGAGGCCTTGTGGCTATTATCTTCTTGACACAGGAAAGAGAAAAGTAATGAACAATGTAACTTGATGTGTTTTGCAAGGAAGTGAAAGACTAATTTGGCAAATGAACCCCTACCTCCAAGTTCAGCATTTTGTCAACTCATTTGAGAAGCAATTCAAGGCCTAGAATATCACATACTAAAATTTCCTTTGATTCCTCTTTCTTTTTTTTTCTGATAAAAGTGCTTGTTTCTGTAACTCGAAACCTCCCTCACTCAATATTTTTGTCCCTTTAAATGAGACTCAGAGGGTCGATTGTATCACGTTTTCGAAATAAAGTGTCATTTTAAATTGGCATTTCTTTCCTTTCCAGACGAGTTCGAAAATCATCCAGCTGTGAAAGCGATCGCGCAATTGGTGGACCTGCGTCATTCTTGCGGGTTCATCACCCTAGTGAAGTCGCCCGTGAAGAAATCCCGCGGCGTCGCGCAGAAAAATAATAATGGCGTATCCGTGAATCACAACATGAGCAGCTTTTTCGGGTGCATGAGCAATGTACCGAGACTCATTCCTCCAAAGCACGGAAACCCGGTAGTGGAACAAGAAAGCTGTGAAAATGCCGAGACGGAAGTGGATGCTACGGGTGATTCGTCGTCGTCACAAGAGCATTTTGAAGACTGGGATTTAATTGATTGCACTTTTGGTGTGCCGTTGTTTAATGCCAAATTGAACCGGGAAATCTGCGAACGAATTTCCTTGTATGAAGCTGGTAAATCGGAAAGGTGATCTTCTCGATTTTTTTTTTTTCATGTCTTAGTTTGCCAAATATCGACGAGCCTTTAGTACGAATAATTGAATAGGTTTTCTATAATTTTGATTGATTCCGAGCGACAATTGAAAAAAAAATGTATTTCTGTTCGTAGCTTGAGGTTCTTGGAGCGATCTAGTCGAAAACTGGCTCTGAAGTTCCTCAATTTCATAAATAACCACGTGGTGAGTCGTGAAATTTTGGGGTAATTCCGTTTCCTTTGACCCGAGTGAGTGATTCCACGATTGTTTCCTCGCATTTCAGGACCGCATTGGACCGCGATCGCTGACGGAAACGTCGGAACGAAGTCGCTTGAAAGAAATCCCTGTGCCAAACCAAAACCTTCTGTTCAGCGGAGGGAAACTTTCTGTGTGGGACCGGAAATGATTTCCTCAGGAACATCGAGCGAAGTGCCAAAAAAAAAAGGAAAAATCCGCACGTGAAAAAATAAAGGTCGAAACAAGTGTCATACCGTGAAGGGAAAAAAAGAAGCAATTTCCAAAAGATATGTGAAACATTTCAGCAACAGCTTGTTTCGTTTTTTTTTCAACGTAAACTGGGCCAGTTCTGCTACGTTTTAGTTTCTCTTCGATGCTGTGTCGGTATTTTGAGATTTCCCTTCGAGTCGAAGATGGTGTCCCTTGAAGCCAGTTATCGCAAATATGTGCTTTTTTTTCGTGTGTGTCGTCGTCGTCGTCGCCCGAGGAAAGAATATTTGCAGGCCGAGTTCGTGTCGGCGCGAGTGATTTATCCAAAAGCTATATTTGGTCGATTTTTCTGTTCTGAGAATCGCCGTGGGCAAGCATTCCGTGTATGCAAATGATGCGGGGATATCACGAGGGGAAGAAAGGAGAGCGTATTTATGCGAAACTTTTTTTGTAATTTTTCATTAGCGGAGAAGTTGATTTTCTAGTGCATTTACGCGAATATAAGACACCGTCGATTCTAAAAAGCAAAACTTTTTTCAGATTTCGAGATAACTTATGGTAAACTTGAATTCCGAAGGATCAGCAGTAAAATTCGAGTAAGGGAAAACTACCTTCTTTGTATGAGAAAAAATAAATAAAGAATTGCAGGAAGTTAAAATTAATGATCTTCTGGGCCTTTAACTGTTGATGGGTTGTCAAAATCTTAAATTTTTAGGGAAGGGTTCATTTGCCAAATAAATCATTTCATTCTTCGTGCGAAGCATTGTTACATTTTCATTAATGTTTTCTTCCCTGAATCCCCAGAATAATTGGAAAATGTCTGAAAAAAAGTTATAATTGTAACTGTACGAGGGGGGAAGTCTTTGAGTTGGGTTTTCTACACAAGTGGACTCCCAACAACCTTGTCTACATCAATTTTCTCGGCACAATATAATGAATTCTTTTTTGGTCCCATAGGGTTTTCATTCAATGTTATAGAAGTTCTCTACAATGAAATTCTCCCTACAAGAAATTTTTTTTCTGATTCCTGGGACTTTTTTGTAGAATGAGATCACTTTTCTTGAGAGAGTTATGATAGATACAGAACCAAAATCTGACATTTGAAGGTTTTTGCCTTTGTTTTAGTTATCAATGTCCAACTGTATTTTGAAGGCTCAAATTGTACCGGGTTGATCAGAAATTGGATCGATTTTAGAAGGCAGTTTTTCTTCAACTGCAGTAAATTTCATTAACCAAGTACAATTCGAGGCTAACTTCAATAAATTATTCCTTGAAATTGTGTTCAGCTCAAAATCAATGCAGGTGGACTCCCTCTACAACTATTTTCTCTGAATAAAAAAATTGTTCCTGTTCCCTTGATATTTTTGTTGTTGAGAGAATCCACCTGTATTACAATTGACAATTAGGCAGAAAAGCTGTTACGGAATAAAATTTGAGAGGCTTTATCATATCTGCCAAAAGAATTTTAGTTTTCTTTTACAACATGTAGGTCATCGGTGGGGAGATTTTTAAAATTGAAGGATTTCTGTTTTTTTTTTTTAATTGAAGAACTTCTGATCACCACATTAGCCAAAATTTTCGAATGGGTTCCTGTGCTAGTCATAATCAGTAAAAAAAAAGTGCGTCATATATTCGCCTGAATGTTCTGCATCTGAATTCTTAACTAGTGCTAAATTCCTTCTTTCGAGTAGGACCGGAAGAAAAAATGAATGTGTGCAGTTCTGCTCGTGTTTCAAGATTGATAAGCAGGCATTTGACTCGGATGCACAGAAGATGCCAGAGTTCCTGGGATGAAAGCAAGACGGGATTCGTGGATTTCCGAAGAGTGGTTGCTGAAGGCGGCAAAGGAGGCGATGGCAGCATTCACTTCTTACGGCTGTGGCGGAACGACAGGGCAGGGCCATCTGGCGGCGACGGAGGCAACGGCGGTCACGTGCTCTTCAGGGTATGTGTGAAAGCGTTTTCCCTGGAGCAACAAGCTTTTTTTGTTGTTCCAACTCAAATAATTTTGACTTGAGTTTTGAGTTGAGGGAACTAGCATTTTTGCTGGGAAAATCAATTTCAAGAATTGCAAGGTACAGTATTTGACACTGTTGATCTTCTGGGGAACCAGCGCAAAAATAAATTCGACTTGAGGAGTTTTTGAATTTGGGGAACTAGCATTTTTGAAAACAAGTTAGGATTCGCAACAAATGTGAAATGTTTGATCTTCTGGGAGACCAACACAGAAATAAATTTGATCTGCGTTTCTGAGTTCGGGGAAGTATACATTTTGCTGGAAGAATGAATTTCAAGAATTGCAAGAGGTTGAAATTCTTCATCTTCTGGGTATCTGGGGACCAGCTCAAAATTGAATTTTACTCGAGTTTTCAAGTTAGGGAAACTAGCAGTTTTGCTGGGAAAATAAAGTGAGGAATTGCAAGAATTTGAAACTGTACTGTATTGATATTCTGGGAGACCAACACAAAAATAAACTTGACTCAAGGATTTTTTGGGTTAGGGAAGCTAGCGTTTTTATGGAAATAATAAATGAAGGTTTGCGAGAATTTGGCAATTTTGATTTTCTGGGGAACCAACACGAAATAAATTTGACTTTGTTTTCGAATTGGGTCAACTAGTAATTTTTCTGGGAAAATAAATGAGGAACGGCAAGGGAACAACACAAAAATAAATTTGACTCGAGTTTTCGAATTGAGCGAACTAGAATTTTTGCTGTGAAAATAAAGGAATTGCGAGAATTTGAAGTTGTTGATCTTCTGAGGGGTGAAACACAAAATTTTTTTGACTTGAATTGAATCGAATTGAGTTTATTATTTAAAAAAAAAATAAAATCGACTTTAGTTTTTGAGTTGAGAGGAACTGAAGAAAATGGGTGCAAAATTCGGGAGAATGTCAAAATTTCCAACTGTAATAGTTTCAAGTATAAGACGAGCTTCCATTACTCATGTTTCCAGGCCACTGAAAGCGTGTCGTCGCTGGTCCGCGTGCCGAAGAAAGTCCGCGCCAAGGACGGCGATGACGGACGTCCCAAGGACTGCGACGGCAAGTCGGCGGAGCACGCGGTCGTCGACGTGCCGCTCGGGACGCTCATCAAGGCGTCCCCGAGCGGCGAGCTGTTGGCGGATCTCTCGGAAGAGGACTCGGTGTACGTGGCGGCCCGGGGCGGCTGTGGCGGGCGTGGCAACCACTTCTTCGCCACCGACACGAACCAGAGTCCCATGATTGCCCAACGCGGGGCACTCGGTGAAGTGAGAGAGTATGGAGTGGAGATGAGGGTTGTGGCGGATGTGGGGCTTATTGGGTTCCCGAACGCGGGGAAGTCCACGTTGCTGAGGGCCCTGTCAAGGGCCAGGCCGAAGGTGCGCCATCTGTCATTCGTGTTCGGAACCTATTTATTCTTTTATTCTATTTTTCTCATCTTGGTGAATGGTTCCCGAACGCGGGGAAGTCCACGTTGCTGAGGGCCCTGTCAAGGGCCAGGCCGAAGGTGCGCCATCTGTCATTCGTGTTCGGAACCTATTTATTCTTTTATTCTATTTTTCTCATCTTGGTGAAAGTCTTACCCCTTTTGTTCATTTTTACATAGTGGGCCCTTGGTTAACCAAATTTGATTTCCCCATAGACTGCAATGGGGAAGAATGCAATCCATTTTGTGAACCCAAAAGACAATTGAACATTGAATATCAAAAATTCAAGACCATCAACTATAATCAGTATGAGTGGTTGCAGCAGCTTGTATGTGCCAAAAATCTTTTTATAGTGTTATATGGAAGTAGCACTGATGAATACAAAGATATGAAAAGCTTCACATTGAGGGAAACAAATGCTGAAGCATGCATGTCAAGTGGAAATGGAAATTTCCATTTTTTTATTCATTTTGCAAGTACAGTAACATGAAATATACCTTCTTAACAATGGAAAGCTAGAAACCCCAAGCTCAGAAAAACAAATAATTTTGTCATAAAAATTGAACTGAAACAAATATCAAAATTACAAAAATTACACAAGTGCTGCAGGAGGAAAAAAATTTCAAATCAGTGAATAGGTGAATTATTTGAACTTAGATTGTACAGTACTGTACCATAAACTTCAACCTCAAAATCAAATTTTGAATTCTCAAATTTGGGAATGATACCTGTGTGTTAATCAAGCAGTTTGCTAACCAAGGGTCCACTGTAAAATCATGAGAAATCTCAGAGAATTTTTTGTAGTTGTCCAAAATAAATGCAATGTTTCTCAATTAGAACCATGATCAAAATCATACTTTACATGGTGAAACTCAAACATAAATTTTTATTTCATCAAGGACCTGCAGAATTTAGGTTTTTTGATGTTGCGACATCTGTTTGTCACTGTCCAAAAAAAAACAAACTAATAAGGGCAGTTATCTTTCGTGTATGTGGATTGTGATATCAGATGTTTTTTGGTTTTGTGAAAAAAAGGTCGCCGGTTACCCGTTTACGACGTTGAGGCCGCATATCGGAGTGATACAGTTTGAGGACTATGTGCAATTGCGTGTGGCGGATATTCCTGGACTCATTGAGGAAGCCCACAAGAACCGAGGCTTGGGATACGGGTTCCTGCGTCATGTGGAAAGGTGTGCTTGCATGTTGTATGTGCTGGACTTGAACCTGGGCGTCACAAATCTTGGAACCCCGCAGGAGCAGCTGGAAACGTTGCAGTGAGTCGAAAATCAGGGAATTTCCAATTTTACTTATTTTCAGCCTGGACCTCTCTAATGGTGACATTTCAGGGGGGTTTGTGTTTTCTGTGTGTTGGTTAGTTTTATGGTCAAAAACAAAGAAATGATTAATTGCCGATAAATATGAAGAAAGAGAGAGAAATACAGTGGGTCCCCGCATTTTAAATGTACTCTACAGTACAGTAATTTATTACAGGATGAGATATCGATTTGAGAAATATGATTTCCCTCAAATTCTAAATTTTTGAAAAAATAATTATTGCAATACGCTCCAGATACACACAAAAATGCATGATTAACCTGAAAAACCCAAGTATTTTTCTATGCCTTGATGAACATTCCCAGATTTCTAGGTCTCAACTTTCTGTGATTCACTGATTTTTTGATGTTAGAAAAGGGAATCTCTTCACCTTTATTTTGTACAGTCAACCCCCAATAAGACGCCACCATTTGTCCAGAGCAATTTTGGTGGTTTAAAGAGGTTGGAGGTTTATCAAATATTTAATTTTAATCATTTTATCAAAAACACTCAATTTACCTCCAGTAGTCATAGAGATACAGGTTATGTATAGAAACTTCAGTAATTTTCCAGAGTATTGCTGTGATCAATGGATTACTCTTTCAGAAAATAAAGTTTGCTGCATCAATTTATTCAAATTTTAAGATTAGGTCAATATATTTTTCAAAATTTTCAACAATTTTATTTTGTTTCTTACAAATACAAGATCCTTGGCAGAAATTATAATTTTACCCCATCGTTGGCATTGTAACAAAGACAAAACTAATTGGAAAAAGCACTGTTGTTTCATCAATAATGCTGGTGGATGGCGTCTTGTTGAGGTTTTCTATAGACTTAAACGAAGAGGAAATTTGTTTCATTCAAAATTTTGGCAGTTGTTGAGGGGGGCGTCTTAACAGGGTTTGACTGTATTTTACAATGATGGCAATGCCTCTGTAAATGACTTCAACCTCGAATTTAACCATGTTTGGTCTGGAGAATTCCTCAGGAAAATTTTTCTTTGCAAAATTGTTGTGCTATGGTTAACTCATTGTATGGAGTTCCTGTATGCAAACAGCATACTAGTACTGTACTGAGCAATGGAGTTGTTGGATACAGTATAAATAATGTGTGGGGATGCTTTGCTTGTTTCATGTTATCCCAGACCTGCAGGTCATGCATCCATTACACCTCTGTGAAGTGTAAGAGCATATCAATGAGAGTTGTTTCTGAATATATTTTGGAAAAACTTCTTTTAGGGAAAAATGATTTTCCTGAAGTTTTAATTAAAGAATGTATAATCCGTTTCTGGATTCTAGCAAGTTCTTGGAATGCTTTTTATTGTGGTATAAGATTGAAGTAATTGTGAGAATTGAAATCTCTCAAATTTGTGAAGTTCATCAATTAATAGGGCTAGAAGAATTAAAAGCTTACATTTTTGACTAAGCTTGGGAATTTAATTAGAAGGATTTCAAATTTGAAAATTTAACTTCAAGTAATTTTTACCCAAGTTTTTTATGCAATATCTGGTCTGCAAATACATATTTCATGCTTCCAGTGGTCCCTTCTGTATAATTTCAAAGATGGCAGCCACCATTATTCAAAAATTGTATTGAAAGATGAATGTAAAAATTCAACATGTTCCCCCTCCTTCACAAGTTATGTAAGGCCATGTTTATGATGCAATGCATAGCAATGAATTGAATTTAAAACTTTTCATTTACAGTAATAGAGGAAAGGAAATTTAGGAACCTTTAAAATTGTCAGTTTTGTCCCCTCCCACAAGGACTTTTCACCTGTGCAATATGGTCCTTGGCAGCAAAGAAAAAGTAATAAATGTGGCCATTGGCGACATGTAAGTCGGGCAATAACAAACGTATCTTGTTTCAATTATATTTTCTTCACTGTTGAATGTGTGTCAAATCTCATGTTTTAACTTTTGCCTGTAGGGAAGAATTGAGGCATTATAATCCAAACCTCTTGGAAAGACCGTTTGCTGTGGCTGCCAACAAGATAGATCTTCCTGGAGCACGTTCGCTGTTGGAGAGCTTCACATCAAAAGTTCCCTTTCAAGTATTCCCGATTTCCGCCCTGAATGCGGAAAACATAGCTCCACTCATTTCGTATTTGCGAAAAATGTATGACGCCAATCAAGAAAAACTGCGAAAGAAAAGTGAGGATGATCCTATTGTGATTGAAAATGTTTGACAATGCAAATAAAACATTTTTTCTTCGTCCATAATGAGGGTTTTTCTCTTTAGTCAAATTTAGAACTGTGTAGTGTGTTGTCAGTGGGATTTTATTTAAATTTTAGGATTCTAAAAATAGTGTTTATTGGGAGTTGGAGTCAATCTGATTTTTTTGCACCCCTTTGGCACTTGAGAACTTCCTCTAATTTCTAGATCATGGAATGATTTGAATTTATGAAAAACCAATGCATCAATTACTGAAGATGATATTTGCAGTTCAATATCTGCAAATTATCACATTTATTCAAGTAACACATGCACTTTTCTTCTCAAGATTGAGAGAAAATTGGTGGGGAGGGGGCATCATGAGTCAGTCAAGTTTTTTGACGTTGGGGTGTTCATTAAATTATATTTTAATGGGAAATTTTAGACATACTTCTAAAGAAACTTGAATTTTGTTGAATCCAGGTTTAAATTTTGGTGTTCATATTTTGAATATACAATACAATAGTGCATTTTTAAGTCACTAAAAGTAAGGTGCTCATCCTACTTGGGGATACATTTCTTTAGAAAGTTTGACTAAATAAACCAAAGTGCACATATTAATCAAGGGCATGTGGTCCTCAAGTGAATGAAGTTGCTAAAATTCACAATAAAACCAAGGAAGACAAAAGGGGTAGTTCAGAAGAATCTCTGATTGATGGAAAAGTTTGACTGCAGCTGGCTGTTGAACTTGAAAATTATTTGTAAAAGTTGGCACTCCTTTCTTAATAAAATAAAATAATTGAAGTGGATGAGACATCAAGAAAACCCAGTTTCCCCAGCTTATGGACTGAAAGTACATTCAGACCCCCAGATGGAGATGTGATTGGTGCATGGAGAGTGTCCCTAATTGAGTCATTTTCCCTCACACTTACATTATTTAATTTTTAATTGGTGTCTTATGGAAGAAATATTCTTGAGAATTCTATGAAAAAAATTGGTTGCTAATTGAATTTGATTCAGTGAATATATCTTCAACTCTGTAAAGTGCATTGAAATGTTGGTATCTGTAAAAATAAAGATTGTCACAAAGAGAGAAGGAAGTCTCTCCACAGTCTACACTAAAAGTCCTTTTTTAATTAGCTGAATGGATTGGAAAGGGTAGAGGGAAATTCTAGATATTTTTTTTTGCATAGATCTTAGGGTTGGAAATATCAGTTTCTTACACTTGAGCTTAATAAAAGTCATTTTTCATGAAATTGATCAGCACCTTTATCATGCAATGTCCACATGTTGCGTTGATGTCCGTATTTTGGACCTTTTACATGCCTTTGTTATTCAAAAATAAATATCCCTATGTTGAATTGTCTGCATGTGGGGGTCTCACTGTACACCTGATTCTCAAATGGTGTTCAAAAGAATGGAAGGTTCATGCAAATATGCCCTCTTTCCATTTCCATCCAATGATCATGAACACTTGATCAAGAACAAATCCAGCCGCAATTGCTCAACTGCTCTGAAAACCTCACTGAAAGTGACATTCGAAATAACTGGCAAAAACTCAGTTGTCAAATGTGGGCTAAAACTAGCTTGTCGGCAAAATTGAACACCTGGATGACCCACAACCCCATATTTCCTGGATACACTCGACGCGACTTTCCACAAACCCGAATCGGCACAGGTTCCGTTCCCAGACACTAGATGTCGCTCAGTCATACTCCCTGGCATTGCGACTAAAGCAGGCAATGCGTCGTGGAATCCGCAAGCGAATTCTATCACCTGGTACAAGTCTGTAGAGCCCAAGTCGTAGGTGTGGATAGGGAACCCACTGCCGCGAGGGTTCGCCAAGAGAAACTGCGGCATGGAGTAACTGTAGGTTGAGATCAAGTGCAATCCTTGTCCAGTTCTTTGTAGGTTGCGGGAAACGTAGATCAGCATAGGTGGTATTCCAGCCTGTAGAACAATTTTTTTTAATATTAGAATTCAGTGGAGTAAAATTTTGCTTAAAAAAACCCCCCTTGGAACCCATTGAAGAAACCTTTGTTTTGAGCATCAAATAACATTTTGGCTACACTGGATGGTCCCAAAGAGGATTTCATTCTCAACATAAATACGTCATGGCAAGATATTATACATGAAATCACATTTGAACCTCAATAACTTGAACATTTATCAGTCAAATACCCCTCCCCTCTACTCCATGTAAACAAACTTCCAAGTCCCTGTCTGAATTCCCTTAGAAACAATACAGTGAAAACCAACACAACTCATAGGCTTTCCCTCTCAAATTTAATTTTCTGGAGGCCTTTTGGCTATTCCTTCATCAATACAGGAAAGAGAAAAGCCATACAAATGTAACTTGATTTGTTTTGAAAATAAGTGAAAGACCGATTGGGCAAATTAACCCTTGACTCCAAGTTCAGCAAGTTGTCAACTCACTCAAGAAGCAATTCATGGCCCAGAATATCACAAATTAAAATTTCCTGTAAATTATTTTTCTTTCCCCCAAATATAAATGCTTGGTTCCTTAACTTGAAACCTCCTTAAGTTGAATGCTTTGACACAGTCCTAGTCCCTTTAAATTCAACTCAAAGAGGCTCAACTGTTATTGAAATACAGTATTGTACTGTATAGCCAATAGAGAAGAATAGTTATTTGAAAATATCCCAGAAGATTCCCTGTCTTTTTTTCAAGTGTTCTGATTCACTCTAACTTTGCCATAATTTTAGCAGGTATTTTCTCCAAGGAAATTGAACTAGCATTATGAAGCATTGAATAATTATTCACAGGTGACTGGCAAGACTTGAAAGGAATTCTTAGCAATCTTGAATACTCTGGTCTTCCTTGGAAAGAAAATTATCTAAAAGTACTCCACAGGTAGTTTTTTCCTCAAATTTGGGAGGAAAAAAGGGAACCAGTTACAAAAGCATCAGGTACACATTATTCAAAAAGTTTTGGAAATTTAGTATCGATTCTGATGGGAAAATTTGGACCAAGTGCTACATAGAAACGCACTTCAATATAAAACATTCAACTCACCAAATACAAGTTCAATTCATGTCTAAATTCAATTTCAGGTGTTCTTATTTTAAACAAATAATTGGTTTTGGAGTCACAAAAAATAGTGTGTGTCTTACTCAGGGATACGATTTATCGCAAAATGTTCAACTAAAAAGCTCCGGCGCGTGTTTTGCTCGAGTAAACAAGGCTTTTCTTCAAACTTTTGAACCTTCATATGGAATTGAAAAATGTTTCAAAACTAAGCATAAAAATGTTTGAATTCAGAGAAGGATGAAATTTAGATTCGACGCATTTTTTCAACAAGCACTTAAAAGTACAGTAATCCAACAGCATATGAAAAAAAAAAGGGGGTTTGCATGACCCACCTGATGCATGACGCCATAGAAGTAAGTGAGCAGAACATTGGAAACAATCCAAGACCCCAGAAGAACTTTGCTCAACACCCCAGGCTTGAAAAACTTGTCATGAGCGACGTAAACGAGCGGAAACAACACGGGTATCAGAAACCTCGGCTCTTGATGCTTAAACAAGGTTAGTATCAAAACAGGGAATAGGAAAGACGCCATCATGACGTAGTCGACTCGTCTCTCCACTTTCAACGCTGTCTCCTTCCAAATGGCCGGTATCCAATAGGAGCGGTAGTGCATGTAGCGCTGTTTACCATCTTATGGCTTTTCTTCGCCGTTTAAGTGTCGCTTTACGCAGGTCCCAAACACCTAGGGCACGTCCCGGTCCAAAGACCCTAAGTCTAACATCCGAATGAAGTTCATTGGTGTCAACACTGGTCCCTTAGACAAACTTTCCTGGCCCCTGTGAATGAAGCAAAAAATTGCATGGAATTACATTTCAAACATGTTCTTGTAGATGTCACCTCATCAACCACCATGAATCACAGTCAGTTCGGGCACATACATTTTCCCGACTTGGGAGTTTCCGACGCCCCGCAAGCAGTAACTCGGCTCTGCCCCGCTGGCGTACCCCCTCCCGGACCTGGGGCTTTCCTTGGGTGACGTTCCCTTGTTCATATGCTGAACAAGGGAACCAACGTTATGAGCCTCTCCGGGAAGATGCCAGAGGGAGCTTATTATCTCAAAGATGGTGATTGTCCATGGTTAAATGTTCATATGCTGAACAAGGGAATGCAGGTTTTGAGCCTCTCTGGGAAGATGCCAGAGTGCAGAGGGATCTTATAATCTGAAAGCTGGAGGTTTTTGTAAATCCTGCACATTTTCATTCATTA